GCAAAATCCTCATATCATGCTTCGGCATGCGTGGATACTTATTCACTTTGTGGTACTTATGGAGCGTCAAAGTTTGGAAATTTGTGCGTTTTTCGTACTTGCAACTTGCAAGTGGCCATAAGTGCAATGTCATGTACATATTATATCTGCCCTCAGGTAGTAACACTAACAGTGTAGTTCAGACCTCAGTGCAAACTGGTCGTTCTGTCCTCCCTTACGCTGTGCAGTGCAGATCGCGTTGACGGCCGACCACAATTATGTTCATCCTTGAGCCACAATTAGTCCGGGTGCGGGATTTGGATGCACGCCAGCCACCACTAGTGCACTGCCCACAACTTTACATGCTAGTTAGTGCACATCCGATATCATCCGGATCCGTATCTGGTGTCCTCCCTACCATGACGACAGCAGCAGCACGGCTGACGGAACATGGCATAGGCAGCTGGGATTCGTACTCTACGCTATTACTACTAGACTCTACGACACACATAGCAGAACTCCAACGCAACTCCAACAGAATCCTATGTGGATCTACTATAACTGTTGCCTAGATCTTCTGGTATCGGCAGATCAAGAGACCCTACAGGCTACAACATACATGTACCCAGTTTTGAGTTGAACGCCTTTTTTCAGGGTCGGCTGAGTAGTATCCCCACTTGCCATCTCAGCTCCAATCGACGTTCGGTTCTAGAAATGCACTGCCTACTGCCTAGCGTCTAGTCATCATAATCCCCAGACGTCAAGAGGGCAGTGTTGCACACGATCACGGTAACTTCTTGTCGAATCTTGACTCGGACTTGACACTCCTGCAGGGCTTCAAGCCTGGCCACACACTGGCTGAATGAAAGTGTCCAGGACCATTTTTCTTGAAACAGGAATCCGATGGAGCGGGAGGTTCTTGTCGCCTGATGCTTCTATTTGGAGTTCAGTTCCCCAGTGGGCCGGCCACACGATGGGAAGCCTCGGGCTGCTTGTCTCGATGCTATGGAGCAAACGGTTTGAGATGATCACAGCGCTGTTTCTCGCAAATGTGGCACAAATTGCCAGCCAAAGAACGAATCGTAAGTAGAATTTGCCCAGTTCAATAAAAACTAACGCTAGGGAGTTAGTTGTCTAGGAAGTCCTGGCTTACTAGTACCCTGATCTTACTGTAGCCTAGTGTAGGTCCGGACACGCGTTCGCCGCTTGTTTGCAATCTACATGATGGCTGGGCAGTGTGCTACATTGTAGTACCGGTACAGTGTACTGCCTGTAAACTCTGATCAGTACAGACTCAGTACAATATTAGGGCTTGAAAGTGATGACGTCAAAAACGATCAGGGAGTAGTAAGTTGACATCATATTTCTATTTTGGATCCACTAAGGTATGACTTTGCTATAGGGCTTGAAAGTGCTACGTCACAGCATAGCAACAATTTCAAAAATTCAAAAACTGGATCCACTTGGATCCAGTTTTTGTATGGATCCAAGCACATTTCAAGCGGTCTTACCCACAGCATGGTGATGTAGCCAGTGAAACTGACTGATTTGGCTACTGGGGGCGGGGTTACAACTGGTGGCGAAATAAAAGTCACACCTGCATGCGACATGAGTGGGTTGCTATGCACCCACATACATAGGCAATAGCAAAGTCACACCTTAGTGGATCCAAAAATAGAAATCTGATGTCAACTTACTACTCCCTGGCCGTTTTGACGTCATCACTTTCAAGCCCTATTGCCTCAGTCTGTGGATGCATAGCAACCCACTCATGTCGTATGCATGTGTGACTTTTACTTCGTCACCAGGTGTCACCCCGCCCCTATTAGCCAAATCAGTCAGTTTCACTGGCTACATCACCTTGCTGTGAGTAAGACCGCTTGAAATGTGCTTGGATCCATACAAAAACTGGATCCAAGTGGATCCAGTTTTTGAATTTTTGAAATTGTTGCTATTCTGTGACGTAGCACTTTCAAGCCCTATAGTGACGACCTGCTGTCATTACTGACTGTCATGATTATGAATATGAGTGGGAAGTGCTGCACAAGTAATGACAAGTGATATCACAATTTTTTAAATACACGCGCTCTGGCTGGATAGGAGATAGAGAGGGAGATTGCTATGGTACTCTCCACGTACTAGTATGCTCATGTACTGGCATTGCAGAGCTACCAACCTACCCTTGCCTTGGTCTATCATAATTTTAGTATGCGCACACGCCTCATTATTTCGGCGGACAAGGTCTTGCACAACGGCGTCCTCCACAAGGCTGAGCGGTGCGGAATAAGTGGCCCCCTCCTTGCCTGGCTCCGGAGTTACCTGACAGACCGCCACATCCGTGTTGTCATAGGCGGCCAGTCTTCACCGACCCACCGAATCCAATCTGGCGTGCCGCAGGGCAGCATCCTCGGGCCCCACCCTCTTCCTTCTGTACGTCAACGACGCAGAAGACCACCTGCCTGGTGGGGCGCAGCTGGCTGTATGCGCCGACGACACAACTCTCTACTAGTGCATCACCACCCGACTCAGACTGCCAGAAGAGACAGCAATCCTCCAGCAGGCAGTAGACTCACTGGCAGCATGGGGAAGCAGGTGGAGGATCAAGTTCGAGCCCACAAAGTCGCAGGCATTGACCATCAGCCACCACCGCTCGCCAACCCCCCCCCCCCCCCGAACGCAATACGCTTCCAAGGAGCAGTCGTGCCAGAAGTAGAGGAGCTCGAGCTTCTTGGCATCACCTTCGACAGGCAGCTGGCATTTCGCAGCCATATCCGACAGCTTGCAGTACACGGAGCCCAGCGGCTCGGCTTCCTCCGTAAGGCATCGGCTGTGCTAGACCCAAAGCACCGGGCAATCGTGTACCATGGCTTTGTCCGCCCTGTTGTGTTAGAGTATGGCATGCTGGTGTGGATGAGCGCAGCCCCCACCGCCTTGGCCCGCCTCACTGCCATCCAGCGCCGTGCCCTGCACATAATTGGAGATGGATCATACCTCCCGAGCCTCGACATTCGCCGTACCGTAGCAGGGCTCTGCTTTCTGTACAAGCTGCACTTTGTGGAGGGTCCGGAAATGGTGAAAGCCATTCTGCCACCATCAGCAGCCCCACCGCAATGTTGCATGTCTACTCGTGAGACAATCAGATCTGCAACACATCATCCATCACAACTCACCAGTATTCTTCCTCCTCAGTCACGAAACAACACGCTCCGCTCATTTCCCCACTCCCTCATCGCAACGTGGAATCAGCTCCCACCTACCCTTCTGCAGTCTCCCCCTTCTCGCAGAGGTATGCACACGTTCAAGAAAATGTCAACGACCACTTGCGGCGCAGCAAGTGGGAGTGGGCCACAGACAGGCTATGATCTCTCCATCGCAGCCAACACACCAGCCTAATTATACTGATCGCACTCCAGCTCCCTTCTACCCCTCTTTGATCCCCTTCGCTCGGCCTTAACCCTTTCAGCCCTGACCGGAAAATCACCTCCCACTGGGCCAAAAATGGCAATTTTGGAAAATGCATATTCTGGTCCAAAATTGGTTGGAGATGTTGGGTATGGACATATGCACTGTGAATCCAAAGACATTTTGTAGGATTTCATTGTACGAGACTCATAACACCATAATATTTAGATATGCGACTTTTGGCGATTTTTCCTCAAAATTCATTCAATTTGGGCAATTGACGACAAAGATCAGACAAGCAATGGCAAGCAGTGCTATAACTGGTCAGTGTTGACTTCAGAATGGAGAAATGTCATAATATAACATGCTTGATATGACCCTGGTGTTCTACGGCAACCTATAGACTAGAGTACAGCAACTCGTTTTACACGGCGCTTGCATCATATGCGACTTCGGGATCCAGAATGGGTCTTTCTTTTTCTTGGGCGACGCGTAAAGCTTGAATCCTCCAGCAGCCCTACCTACTTCAAGACAAAACCATGTGATGGACAGTGAGGATGCCGAGTAACTGGAGTAGCAAC